AGAGGGGCATGGGTATTAAGGATATTTAGAAGATTGGTAGTAAGAATATCAACCATAGAGTCGATAGAATTGCAAGAATATATTTTATTCCATTCTAGGATTTCCAGGTCAGGTAATATTTGTTCTCGTGTAAGGGAATCTAGATGGCGGAAGGTGGTAGTTCGAGGCTGAATAGGAGGAGTTCGGATATTATATATTATTTGTATCAGATCATGAGATGACAAAAAGGATACTGGCAGTTGGGAAGAGGAGAGGAGGTTTTGTGCAGAGTCTATAATATAGAAATCTAGCCAAGTGTCGGACCTGCTGGTATGGTGAGTGGGAGAAAAAGGAACGATAAAGAGGTGAAGGGAGAAGAATAGGTCTTCTAGATAGGATTTGTCATTGGAGTTAGATAGGAAATTGGTATTGAGGTCCCCTGAGATGATTATTCTGGGATAGAGGGGAACGAAATTCAATAGGCTAGATTCAAAGGACGTGTGAAATGGAACAAGAGGAGGACGGTATACCACAGCGTAGAGTAGAGGAGAAGTATTACAAAGGATTTCAACTAATAGGTATTCAATTTGTGGGTGGTTGGAAGATGGGGATAAATCGAGGATTTGGGTCTTCAGGCTATTGTGGACAAATATGGCTACTCCACCGCCAGTCCGGCTTACCCGGTCATGACGGAAGAGGTTGTAATTAGGCAAGGAGACAGAAGAGGAGGGGATATAAGGTTTGAGCCAAGTTTCGGAGATAGCTATAATATGGTAAAAATTTTAAGTGAAATATTGCAAGAATTCGTCATAGTGGGCGGGGAGGGATTGAGAGTTAATATGGCAGGTGATTAGGGTACTAGACACGAGAAGGATTTGGAAGGAAACAGTCAGAGTTCGGTAGAGAAACACTAAAATAAACAAAAAATACAGAAAAGCAATTACAATTAATGAAAATGAGAAAAAAGAAAGTGTTTAAAGAAACAAAAAATAGAAAGCATATAGTTAATAATACATAGGCTAATATGTGAAAATGAAGAAATACAACTGAAAGGGAAAATCTTTCTTTGAAGGAAATTTTGTCAATAGTTATTTTGATAAGGATGAAGGGTAGACGAATTCTGTGTAGTCAGGTAAATATATCGAGGTCCGAGGCCTGTTCGATTAAGATAAGCTTATGTCCGTCTTCTTTTCAACATCGCACCTTTTCAGCGGCAAACCAGCAATATTTAATTTTCTCCGCTGCTTTCTTCTGTCGGGCAAGCCAGTATAAGTGCCTGTTCGTGTGAGTCATCTCCTCCCCCAGATATATCCGGTGGCGGTCATCCTCCTGCCAACCGATATCCCGCGTGGAGAAATCCCTCTTGACTTTTCTTTTCGATATTAAATCGTATCTGACTGATTGCCTGACAAATCTCACGATGACAAGCGGCGGTCGCGGATCATCTTTCCTGCTTCTGCTGCGATGCATCATATCCAGGTCTTCTGCACTAAGCCTGACTCCCAGGCTGGCTCCTATACTGGTCACCAGAGCGACGGGCATTTCACCAGCTCGCTCCGATATCCCTCGGATCTCCAGTAATCTGGATAACAGGCGTAGTATTTCTGAGGCAGACAGCTCAGTGTTGGGTTTTTTGGCCTGGTCGCAATTAGGGCATACCCATGTTTTTTTGTGTGTTTTTAGTGCTTCGATGTCTTTATCAGTTAAGTTGAAACACCTACTATGGTAAATAATTTTACATTTTGCACAGTTAATATTGTTTTTGTCCTCGCGTGCAATAGTATTATTGCAAATATTACACTGCACCATATTTTATGAGAAGTAAAAAAATTAAAATATAAATAAATACCGGTAGACAGTTGTTGATGTGATGAAAGCAGTAAACAGCGTGTCTAATGCCTTAAGGATTAGTAAAAGATAACAGTCTCGTACTTCCAGAAAATCAGTTAGAGTTATGCACTTTTTTACGTAAATATACGTCACTTGAATCAGTGAACACTAATAATGTTCTAGAACAGTAGAAAACAAAAGCTGAACGCAAGATGAACTGTAGTGAAGATTAAAATAAAGAAAAAACTGTGTAGGTATAAGAGAATTACAGCGATGTTCATAGGTAGCTGTCTCTGGCCAGACTGTCCCAATTAAATTATTCTTAGAGACTTATTCTTACTGTTTAATTTAGTTTTCCTTTTATCAAGTTTGATAAGGAAATAATGATGAACCTAATTTAGGGTTGTATTTACTGACTCATATTTTCTATCTTTCTCACCACTGCCTGATTTCCTGTGCAAAATTGTTTGTATGAAAAATGTTTTTATGTCTTATAATTTATATTGAGGATTCGTATAATTTTATCATCTAGTCAGCTGAAGTATCCAAATCTTCTTTCCAAATTATCAAAATAATTTTTATTTGATATCAATTTCTCTATAATAACGCATTGCTTTTTTGAAGTTTTTTAATACAAATTAATATCAGTTAATATGAAGAGGAAACTTTGTACAAAAAAAAAAAAATTGTTGCATGGTCCTAAATGGGCAATGAGTAATAAAAAAAAAAATGCCAGTTTCATTCAGTTTTACTTCCACTTATTTAAATATAAATTATACAAGGTGTGTCGTAAGTAGAAGGAAATTTTCAGCAGAAAAGTAGAAAATCCAAGTTTTGTGATTTTTCCAAGGCTTAAATAGGTCATGCCTTTTGTTGAAAAGGAAATAACTAAATAAATATTTAATTTAAGTAGTTAACAATTGCTTCACTGTAAACAAGACGAAATTTACTTTAAATGAAAACTGAGTTTGTCATTTTTAATTGAGTTCTACCAATGGGTAGTTTCTCTTCATGTTGTACATGCCATGTTACAAATTTCTCATTTACTTATTGTATTCTCTATGTAATACATTTGTAAATTCCATTAAAAATAATTAAAAAAAAAAAGAAGTCATTTTTAAAACCATTTAAAAAGGACTTTTGAGCGGCTAAGCTAAGTTCTGTTTTTAAAAAATCATTAATTATTCGCAATGTTTTTTTATCATCATCCTATTAAACTACATTAAACATTAAACTACCCCACTTTAAGAAAAACATCCTCCTTTAACATGCTTTAAGTACATATTAATTTACTTGAGATTTATCAGAGAGGTTTATCAAACTGAAAAATTGAGATTCAGTTTAAGTTGTTTAAAAAAATGATGTGATTTTATTCTATACCCATGTTTTCAGCAAAAATTACTACAATTAACTGTTGCAAAGCTTTTATTTCTTGTTTTTCCATAATTTGGTATGTATTATAATGAATATAATTACAAAAATATACTTTTTATTTATAAAAAAAAAATGTAATTACGATTTTTCAAATGTTTTTCATATAAAATGGTTATGTAACTATTCTTTTTTTTCACGAAGATCTCTATTAGGAATTGGTCTGTATTTATGTGTGACAGATTTATCAATTCCTGATTCTAATACTTACGTTTTCATGAAAATAACTGGAACAATCAGTAGGTTTCTTTGTTTTAACTAAATTGTAGGACTAGAAATATTATGACAATGTGATTTTTGTTTATCACACTCCAACTATACTACAGATACTCCACTATTAGAAAAACTTCCTCATTTAATAAATCCATATTAATTAAGTTGAAGTTTATTAGGGGGGAAAAAATTGAGATTCACCTCAAGTTGTGTAAAAAAAAATATGTGTTTTTATGTCATGTCATCTAAAAGTACCAGTTTCTTTCAAGTTTTTAGAAAAAAAATGACTACAATGAATTATTGCAAAGCTTTAATTTTTCTTTTTTGATGGCCTGGAGTTGTATAATAACAAATATAAATGCATTAACAAACTTTTCATTTCTAAAAAAATGTAAAAAAATAATGATTTTTTCAATTATTGATCATCTAAAGTGGTAATCTATAGTGGTATCTGTAGTATAGTTGGAAGATGATAAAAAAAAAGATTAATAATTTATGATTTTTAAAAGACAAACTAAACTTATTTTAACTGTTCAAAAGTCATTTTTAAGTGGTTTTAAAAACGACAATTTCTACTTCTATTTGAAGCAAATTTCTTGTAGTTTACAGTAAAATAATTTTTAACTACTTAAATTAAATAGTTTTTTAGTTATCACTTCATATTCAACAAGAAATTGATTTAATCAAAAAACACAAAAGTTTAATTTCCTACTTTCCTGCTGGAAATCGGGCTATTATTTATAAGACATTTATATTTATATTATGCAGCTCTTATGATTTGCTATCACACCAATAAATATTTTCCTCTACTTACAGGACACACTCTATAAGTAGTGATTGTGGAAAATTTTGAATTCTAGTTTTTAATAGACAAATAAGTTGTCCTATGCGTCCAAATTACCAAATCTTGCTTTATGATCTAAATTTATCTATTTTAGTTTTAGAGATGTGCATTTTGGAATTTTAACTCCCCACCAAGTGTTATTCTTTTTCATGTTTTTTAAGTATGTATTTCTCTACAGCCTGTTCTAATTGCATTAGAACATTGAAATTTTTATAAGAATTGAGTTGGTTTTAAAGTAGTGTCTTTCTGGAGTCTTAACTTTTCTCCCTCCTCACTTTTGCTGTTTTTTTTGTTGTTTTTTTTGTGGGTGTGTTTTAGTGATTCTCAAGTTTTATTATTCCTCTACAGCCCCTCCTATTTTAGTTAAACTATTAAAAATTCGTATGTGAATTGTGTTGGCATTACAGAAATGCTTTTTGGAGGTTTCAACTCCACCAATGCAAATGAAAATAATGTTACCTATAATATTTATAAATTTAAGTTATTGCATTCTATAACTGCCATAACTTTAAAAATTATGACACAGTTTAATCAGTCAATCGCCATATTAATATTAACACAAAAAAATATTAATTTTATTCTAGTAACTGGTTAATTTATAAAAATAATCACAATCAAATCAGACAATAATAATTGTAATAATTTTACACATACTTATGTATATTGATATATTATTGATTTATATATGTTTCCATTGTTTCAGGTTTTCATCAAAAGATATTGAAATAAAGAATCGGACAACAATAGTAAATGAGGAATTCATTAAAGTTTTCTGTGAAATTAAGAATGAAACAATATATAAAGATTATTTTGCTTTTCCTCAGAGTAGAAAAGGAAGACATAGAGAACATAATACAGTCAGCATCTCCCTGATTGGTTTTGATTCAGTGTCTAGACTTAATTTACTACGCCAGATGCCACGAACAGTTGCATTTCTTAAAGAGAAGGTTATATCTGTTGAAATGTTAGGCTATAACAAAGTTGGTGACAACACATTCCCAAACATGATTCCAGTATTGGTAGGTCGCACAGTGGAGGAAATTAAAGAGACATGTTGGCGACAAGAGAATATTTTTGATAATTGTTCATTCATTTGGAATAAGTATAAAGAATCAAACTTCTCAACTGCTTACTATGAAGATGCTACTTGGATGGGGCTTTTTAATTATCAAAAATATGGTTTTAGAAAACAGCCCACAGATTTTTATGGTCAAATTTTTTCACTTACGGCAGAAAATGATTTGGGTTGTGATAAACGACTCAATGCACATCTTTGCATCGGGAACAGAATGGTTCTCAGTGTTCTTCTTGAAAGTGCTAGTAGATATATCATAGGATCCAGAGATATGCTGACATGGTCTATGTTTTGGACAAGCAGTTTGACACATGACTATCTCAATTTGCCACGGTTAGCAGATCTTCCATTTGTGGATTTTATGGAAAATCTTTTCAATAATGACATTTTCAATTCTACAATTTTTATTTTTATGAGTGATCATGGTATTCGATGGGGTGGCATTAGGTCTACTTACCAAGGCTATATGGAGGAGAGGCTTCCATTTCTATTTATCAGTTTTCCCGAGTGGTTCAGAAATACATATCAACTCGCAATACGAAATCTTAAAGCCAATAGACGTCGGCTTACAACACATTTTGATTTACACGAAACACTCCTTGACTTAGTAGATCTAAATAATCTTCAAGACGAGGTAATTATAGAGAGAACAAATTTTTTGTATCATAATGCTAGAAGAGGAATAAGTCTTTTCCTGCCTATTCCAGAAAACAGGACTTGTGAAGATGCTGGGATCACAGAAAATTGGTGTACCTGTTACACTTCTAAATCTGTTTCTGTTTCAAACCCAATGGTAAAACAGGCAGCCTTAGCTTTGGTTAATTTCATGAACAGTTTGCTTGATAATCACCGTGAATGTAGTCAGCTTAACCTCCATGAAATAGTATCCGCCAGGATTGAACAATTGATGTCAACTGAAGAAAGTAATGATTCTATCAATACTAAATCTACTGATTATATAGTGACAGTTAATACTGAGCCTGGGAATGGAGTATTTGAAGCCACAGTTCGGCACCGTATCTTTTCAGAGGATTATACAGTTATTGGTGATGTTAGTAGGTTAAATACTTATGGTGATCAATCTAAATGCATTTCACATTACATGCTTAAGCTGTACTGTTTCTGCATATAGTGATTGATTAAGAACCAAATTGTAAATAATAAATTATGTACATATATTTCATATCGGTTTACAGGTGTTTTTAAGCTTTAAGCCATTTGAGATGCCTGTATGTTAATTAGTGGCTGTGAATGTACTGTGGTCTTAGTATTCAACATGATATATTTGACTTGAAGTTAATTGTTTTACAATTAATTTGTTTGTACTGACTTGTATATTAAACAGTATAATTAAATAATTGATTTATTTACTCTTTATTAATTAAATGCACTTTTATATTTTTTATTACTACAGGTTTTCTGCTGTATGTTATACCATATTTATGTATTCTAATTCTAATTGAATAATAACACTCATGTCCAAGAACATAAAAATAATTCAATTTTTGTATGATTTATAGTTAATATTTTGATAATTAAATATTTTAAAGCAATGTTTAATTTAATTTTACCAAACCTTTTGAGGTAATCAAAGTTTATTAATTGAAAAACATGAACCTCAATAATAAATTGATTAATATATGAATGATAAAAAAGGGGGTGCAATGGTGGAGCATGTTGGGACATGAGTCCCAGAGAGCCAGATTGTGAACATTCTGCATTTGAATAGCCAGCTGTGACCCCAAATACTTGAAATGGGCCAATACTGATGCTCTCACTAGGTCAGGTGATTTCTCCTGAGGCTATATATTTACTTCTACCTCCTTGTTCATCCACTCTAAGGCCAATTGGGTTGAGGCTTGGCCAGCTTCAACATTGACCACCAGTTTTTTTTTTTTTTTTTTTTTTTTTTGAAATATAATAATCTGTCAAATGTACAATAATTATATTAATATATGAACACATTCACACGGTATGTACAGAAAACATAAATTAACAAAAGTAAAATAATAACTAAATAATAATAAAAAACTATGTACTATAAAAAATAAAATAACCAAAAGATAAGTAAATTAAAAGCATAAAAACACAGTCATACCTATATACAATCAGGCAGGGAACCCCAAGCCAGGTTTCTCTCTCCAACTATAGAAGGAAAAGCAGGGCTCCAAGAGATCCCTGCGCTACTCTCTCAACAAGCCAGTGGAGTTTGAGCGAGAGCACTTTAGCCACTTACACTCATGTCTTGAGTGGAGAATCTAGCCAATGCCAGAACTCCAAGATATATACTACAGGGGCCACTGCCACTTCAACCTTCAAGGAGGATTGCAGGGAAGAGTGGAACTAGATAGGGATAGTGCAAGTCCGTAAGTCTGTAGGTCCAAATGGGTTTCAGGATTGTCTTGTAGTTCAGTAATTTGTTGTCAATTGAAAGTTGAGATTTTCTATTCAGTAGTCTGTATAATTTCCGGTATTGCCGATTAAGTTCTTGTCTAGTATGTGGGTTCCACGTTAGTCTTCGGTGTAAGAGAAAGGAAAGATACCGGTCTGTTTCTGAAAAAGGAAGGATTTCGGGATTCTATAAAGAGTAGGATTCGTTTCAGTCGGATCTTTTCAAAAATTTTTGAGAGGATTGGAATTAGTACTGTAGTACGTCAAGATGTTGGGAGATTCTGTAGTACGTCTAATTGGTCTGTAGTACGTCAAGGTGTTGGGAGGTTTGCCTGGTTTCAGAAACAGGATAATAGTGGAATGTTTCCAAAAAAGAGGAAAGTGGGTGGTTCTTAGCATGGTATTATATAAGTAAGTGAAAAATATAACAGCTTTAGGAGGAAGTTGTAGAAGAAGATCCACCGCATAAAGAAAAGAACATGGGAGAGAAAAAGAATGGAGGACGTTGAAACCCACAGAACTCTACATGAAAGTATTCTTTCAGAAGGTGAATGAAGGAAAGTCGGTTTTTAAATCGAGAATCACCTCAAGGATTCAGATGGAAATCTGACGGAAAAGGGAGAGATCCTGGAGAGATGGAGATAGTACTTTGGAAAAGTCCTTCATCAAGACGATGTAGATGAGGAAGCCAGCATCATCTCAAGGGCGGAAGACCTGTCAAAACGATGCAGAACCACCAGACCACGATGAAGTCGAGGCGGCCGTTATGAAGCTAAAGAATAACAAAGCCCCGGGACTAGACGGCATACAAGCGGAGATGATTCGCTACAGTGGCGAGGAACTTATAAAAGAACTCCACAACCTAATCCTTACAATATGGGAAGAAGAAAGGATGCCACAAATTTGGAGACAAGGAATTATTTGTCCGCTTCATAAGAAGGGCGACCAATTGTCCTCCTTTCAAGTGTCTACAAAGGTGATGTCAAACATCCTTTTCGATAGACTCACCCCCCATATTGAAAGATAGATGGGAAACTACCAGGCTGGATTCAGAAGGGGTAGGTCAACTACGGACCAGATCTTCTCCCAGAGAAAAAGCCAAGGAATATAGGATGGTTACGCACCACCTCTTCCTGGATTTCAAGTCTGCGTACGATAGTATAACCCGACCTGAGCTCTACCAGGCACTAGAAGAAATGAGCATACCCACGAAGATGATTTGTGTGGTGAGAATGACCATGTTGGGGTCGAACAGCGTGGTTCGTATCGGATCTGACATCTCTGAAACCTATTGCCACAAACATCGGCGTGAGACAGGGAGATGCTCTTGCATGCATTCTCTTTAATTTGGTGGTGGAGCGAGCAGTACGCAGATCAAGGATCCAAACACGGGCCACCTTATTCAACAGTACGGTCCAGTTGCTGGAGCATGCAGATGACTTTGACATGGCTACCAGATCTGAGCGTGCCCTAAAAGAAGCATTCCTGGCTCTAGAACAAGAAACCAAAATTCTTGGCTTGGTCATCAACGAAGCCAAGACAAAGTATTTAAGAATAGGACCAGCAGAGGTAGGGACAGGTTTTTTTGAAGTTGGACCATATAGATTTAAGAGGGTGCAAAGTTTCGTATACCTGGGCTCAGAAATAAACACTCAAAATGACATATCCCAGGAGATCAACCGAAGAACTACCGCAGCCAATCGAAGCTATTTTGGGCTAGCAAAATACTTCAAAAACAGACACCTCTCCAAAAACACCAAGATCGGCTTATATAAGATCCTGATTCGACCGGTACTTACGTATGGGTCAGAGATCTGGGCCTTCACTAGAGCCAGTGAGAACCTCCTGGTCTTTGAACGGAAGATATTGAGAAGAATTTTTGGCCCGGTTTGAGATGGAGACACATTGATAAGGAGGAAGAATCAGGACTCTCAAGACTGTACAGAGATCCTGGTATCATCAAGTGGATCAAGATTGGGAGACATCGATGGGCGGGCCACGTCACAAAGATGAAGGAGGACGAGATCCCTAAGAGAACATGGGCTGAAGAGCTTCATGGCAACCGAAGAGTGGGTTGGCCAAATGTGAGGTGGGCTGACTCTGTCACAGCGGACGCACGCGATCTCCTCGGCCTTAGGAACTGGAGAGCTGCAGCAACAGATAAAGCCAACTGGCGGAGACCTTTGGAGGAGGCCTAGACCCGTTAACGGGTTGTTGCGCCAACTATGAAGATAAGGAGGAAGTTGTCGAAGGATTTGAGAAGTGAGGAGGTCGTGTCCAGGAGATTTACGGAGAGGAAGTTTTTGTAAGTGGTATTTGACCTCAGAAGGATTAACTGCTTTAGGCGGTAAGGAGAGTGGGATGGGATGAATTAAGGAATTCCTCTACTGTTGTGGTATGGGTGGGGTTAGATTCCGGATGAGAGGTGAATGTTCTGGAGAGGTGTCTGGCGAATTCCTCAGCTTAGTCTTCAGACGCTGCCCAGGAGCCATCACATCGACGGATGGGATGGGAAATATGATGGGGTTTTAGGATTTGTTTAGTGATCTTCTATAGGGAAGTGTCATGAGAAGGGACGGGAGTAAGGTAGGATTTGAAGGTGGCCAATTCCTGTTTTAATCGTTTAATGTAATAATTGTAAGAGCGGCGATCGGTGAGGTGTCTTGAACGTTGCGATAATATTCTGAAATGGCGTTTAAAGACGGATATTGAGGGGACCTAAACCACTGTGGATGAAAAAATCAAGAATATCAGGATTGCAGTTAGGATTAGTGGGCCAGTAGATTAGTGAGTTGGGTGGAAGGAGACTGAAACGTTGGAAATTGATTGCAGACAGTTCTGCCACGAGAATTCGCGGTTTTAGAACCCCATTCATGAAGTCTGCACCCAGGATGGAATGGTGACCTAAGGAGTTGGGGAGAGAGCTGAACTGGACTTTGGATATGGATCTGTTAGGAAGGCAATATGCTGATGCAAGGGTGACCGGAAAGGAGAAGGTTTTGATTACAATAGCGGAAATCTTGAGTAGGTAATAGGAGTAAGTGATGAGAGACAGAATGGTGTACGATTACAGCAGTACCGGCATGTGCTCTACCTTCAGGTTGGTAAGTACGGTATGTTATGTACTGTGCAATGCTGTTTTCTGGTCAGTCGAGTTTCTGTAATTAGGGCTACGTCAATATCTTAGTCCAGAAGTAAAGCTGTTAGTTCGTCAACGTGATTTCTTACACCATTCGAATTCCAAAGGAGAATAGATATGTGTTTGACGGGAGTCATTTAAGGATTTTTCACAGGAGGTATGAGGTGAGATACGAGATTTGTAAGGAGTGATATATGTGGGATAACCACTGATTTGATGTCAATAAGGAATGATGACAACAAACTGGTGAGATCTGTGGCATTTGAGAGTTGGGGTTGAGATATTTGCTGCTGCAGGGCTTCACATTTATTAGTTGGGTTCTTACTTCCAAGTAGGTCAGAGAATGATATATTATTATTAACAATTCTAGAAGATTCTCTTCTTGGTCTGGCTGTCTCATCTTGAATCCGGTTCTTCTGGTATCTGGATTTGAGGTTCTTACAAGTTTGGCAGCCTTTGTAGTTGGCCGGGTGTCCCTCTAGGTATGGGGCACAAACTGCAGGATCTTGTATCGGCTTGGTGCACTCTGCTGATTTGTGTTGTTCACCACATTTCAAGCAACGTGGCAAGTGATGGCAATAATTCTTTGTGTGTGTGTGTATGCCTGGCAATTGTGGCACTGCACGGTTTCCTTCTTATGATATGGCTTGTCTATCTTCACGATAGTGTAGTACAATCTCTTGGTTTCGAATATTTTCTCTATACCAGCTGATGGTCACTAGGAAATGAGATAGACCGCCAGTTATCTCTATATAATGCTGCTACCCTCCAATCACAGATATCAAGGAGAGCTCGTGCGCCTGAAATGACAATACATTCCTCCCAGTGAAGCCTTGGTCTGATTTTGCGACGAACTCCAAATATTTGCTCCCGGAACACTTTAGCAGGACTCTCCTCCTCTCTCATTCTCATAACATTTTCAGCTCAGCTCAACCTTACTAATAGGATGTGCTGGATCACATCCTCCTCCTTATCTATTGATTTGGGGTCCGCGTTTTTCCTTCTCTTCTATACGCTATTTTGAAAAATGGTCAATAACTTATTCTGAGACCTTTTCTAACAAATCACAGTATCGAAGCTTCTTGACATTTAGTGAGGGTATATGTTTTAAAGCCATAAGTCAGTACAGGTCGGATAAGGGCTTCATAAATTCATATATTTGAAGGCTTCAATATAAGTTTGCTTCAGAAATGTCATTCATTTCGTCCACATGTGATCTAATGTACATGAACTCCTCAACCTTTTCAATTACCTGCCCTTCTATTGTTATATTTGTCTGACAAGACCCTGTTGGATATACATTAAAATATTTGATTTTGCAGAAATTAATTAATAGTCCTTAGGAACAAAACATTACCTTCAATCGTTATGCTGGTGAGGCGTACTACCTTTTAAGGAAAATTCATTTCAGTCTTCGCTTTGTAAATTTCTGATCGATTGACGGAATCATATGCTTGTTTAATATCAACAAATATGTAATATGTAGGCAGTCTATATTCCTTAGATTTTTCTAGAAGTATCAGAAGTGTTAATATCTGGTCGATAGTTGATCGACTCCAACGAAAGACGCACTTATACTTTCATATTTTTGTTTCAACATATCACAACATTTTATTAAAGAGGATTATGTAGAATAAAAAGACTTATGCTTGGTCAGAAAGAATAGCTTAATACCTATCTTCTATATTTAATTTATACTTCTTCAAAAAAGTGGATTAATTCAGCTATCATGAATCACAGTCCACACGCAAAGCGAAATAGTATTAAGTAAGAGAGCTGAAAAATAATATCAGGAAACCGGTTACTAATCAACGGTTACTAATCCTTATGCACTGTGCAAACCTTCTGATTTAAAACAAAAAATCTGAAGTGAATATATCCTTATCAGCGGATGGCGATGAAGGAGGATATACCAGGAGAGTTTATAATCTTTATGTTGAGCCTAATGCAGAATAAGTTAGCCATGTAATACGGCGAGAATATACAGAGAGTAGACCCGAAGGAAACTGTTGATGGAAGTTAGCCACAGACGAAGAACAATAAGCCGAAGCTTTGCTGAATCGACTGCATACTGAAAGCACAAGGCCCTCTGGATTTCGCAATTGAATGGAAGCGGCATTTGGTAAAAATACCTAGTGGATGCTTATTGGGATGGTCCAGACCCGGTGAGGTTTTTTAACGGAACGTAAAATAGGTAAGTAATTTTAAAATTTGAATTTATCACTTTACGTTTTATAGAGGATAGCTATTGCGTGTTGCTTAGAAGATAAAAAAAAGCATAATTCATTAATAACATTTATCAAAAATAAATCATAATTCACTTTAACCATTTATTTTACTATCAATATTTCCAATACGAGAAAAAAATCTTTACCTGCGAACTTGTGATGTATGTGAAGTGGATGCATATGAAGTTGTTATAAGTGAAGGTGTTGCATGTGATAGTATTGGACGTGAAGGTGATGCATGTAATTCTGGTGAATTTGAAGGTGTCACATGCTTATGCATTACTTTAGATAATGGCGACGATTTATCTTTGATGTTTAAGATTGGAGAAAAGGAGAAAAGTTCAGTGAGCCGGTTGCAATCGATCCTCCAACTTAATATCCAGGTTTGCATCTCTTCGATGTATACGGCCAAAGCCAGCTTTCCTAATTGGCACATTTCCATGGAAGTTTTAAGAAGTGACTAAGGAACAGATAAATGGTATTAATTTAACTGTCAACTATCCAGCTATATTTAATTTAAATATAACGATTTTATAATATGCTTGTTGTCGGGCAACTTCAATAAGATACTAGGATGGGAACCTGTTCCTCTTTGAACTAACCGAGACAAAAGCCGGTTTTGTTTGAAAAACGCGACCATGCCGGGCGCGAACTCTATAAAAATAAAGCTATATTTATATTCTAAAAAAGGCCGAGATGGTCTGTCTGGTGGGCGCCCTGCTTTAACCTTCTGCTTTTTATCCGTCTTATGGATGAGGTATGTAAAATGTACGCCTCGTATATAGTATATAAGATAATTATACCTTGACCTCTTCTCTCCGCTTTTGCCACCTACCGCCGCTTTTACAGACAGCAAATTACGAACAACCAAATACTAAGAAATGTAAATAATGAATTTCTTCTAATAAATAAATTAACGTTCTAATGGAAAAAAATAAATGAAATAAAATTAAACACTATCCACTATTTAGAACATATAATTATAATATGGTGTGAACAGTTTGGTTCAGGGGTACCCATTTCCCCCCAAGGCCTATTGTGCATGAACCTCTCCCTCCTTCCAACATGTTTTATTGCTCTCCTTTTTCTATAAAGAGTGTAAGCTAAAACATCATCAAAAAAAGCATAGGTCATATACAAACAATTATACTTTCAGTAGTCTGTTTATGCTCTCCTTTTGTTGCCTGGTTTGAAACTTTTTATTCCGAAAATTCATAATCCTGTCAAAATGTGCGAATCCTGTCAAAATTCATAAATAAAAAATATTTATGGTGAAACCTGCGCCATGAAACCTCCTTCTGGGTACTTCTGGTTGGGCTTGGATAAAAACTAGCATAAGCAAGTTAAACACCAAAAAAATACGTATCTACTCAACTATGCCCAGCAATGCTCCTTTATATTTTTCCACTTCCATCCACTTTGACTTAAATCACTCCAACATACTAAACAGGTTTAATTAATCATGACTTATTCAACCATATATTTCTTGCGTTAGATTTGTGTTTTGCAACAGCATTTTCACATTTTGACTTGACTTACGTATAGAAGATGATGAACCAAAAGAAAGAAGAACTACTTCATACCAAATAAGACAGCCTTTTATATAAATTCAACTTGACGCCCTCACAGCTTATAATGTGGTTAGGTAAATAGGAAAAAAAATGCTGAATATTGCCCAATTCTAACGAGAAGTTTCAGAATTGTGGTAATTTGAACTTATGGTACATTTAAAGAGCGGAAGATAATTTGGAATCGAAATCAGCTTGTATTTGTTTGGACTTTCTTATGTATTGGGTTGCCCGAAAAATAATTCAGGATTTTAGGTTTTCTTTAAAATACCCCTCTTTATAACAAACTGTTTACTGAATTATTTATTTGTATGAATGTTAACGCATATTAATTCTCTTCCAAACGATAATGTTTGATTACTTATGTAGCATTTCGCTGCTTATAAATAATTCAGTCTTTAATAAGATGTCAACACGTGATTTTTGTTTAATTTTGTTTTATGAGTTTAAAATCGGCCCGGAATGGAGCCCAGACGGCCAGAAATATCAATCAAGTCTGGGGCGAGAGCAGCATTAATAAGTGAACTGTTCAACAGTGGTTCAATCAATTTCGGGAGAGATTTCAGCCTTGAAGACAAAGAAGGCCGTGGAAGGACTTCCTCACTTGATGAATTCATGTTTTGCGGGTTGAGGTGGTAGAAAACCCCAGAACAACCGTTCGAGAACTTGCAGGAAAACTTAAGCTTAGCAAATTGACAATCAATGACCACCTTAAGACGGTTGAAAAGATAAAAAAGCTTTAAAGTTGTGCTCTACACACATTAAACGACCACCAGATAAACCAGCGTTATGAAGTTTGAGCTACACTTCTTTGGCGAAAAAAAAACGACCCTTTTCTGTCAAGAATTGTTAGTGATGACGAAAAGTGGATACTTTGCGAACATTACGAACAGTAGACGTTATGGACAGTAGATCGACAAAGGAGAAGTAGCAGAACATTTTCCAAAGCCTCCAACTCATCAAAAATATGTGATCGATATTGTTTAGTGTGCTTCATTCGGTTTGATAAACTACAGATTCTTAAATCCTGGAGAAACTAACGAATCGTATTGTAACTAAATTAATGCAATGCATCAGAAATTGGCAATAATGAAGTCATCTTTGGTCAGTCGGAAGGGACCCATTTTGTTGCCTGACAAAGCCCGGCCACATGTCTCGCTTTTGACATCACAAAAACTGTTGGAGCTTGGATATGAAGCTCTACCACATCCGCCCTACTCTCCGGATCTTTCGCCTACGGTTTATAATTTTTTTAGACAGCTGGACTACTACTTAAGTGACAACAAATTTTATGGACAAAGGGAATTAGAAAATGCGTTTTTCAAGTTTATCAATTCTAAAGATGGGAAATTCTATTCCGAGGGAATGGAAAAGTTGCCAACACTTTGAGGGAAGTGTATTGATAGTAGTGTAAACTATTTAGATTAAATAAAACAGTTGTAAATCTTTCTTTTTTCTTTGTTAACTAAAACCCTGCATTATTTAATGGACAGCCCAATAAAATCAATATTTCTTAAACTGGAACATTAAAAATGTATTCATTTGTCCTATTCCGTGTACAAAATCAGGCATTCCATAAGTATTAAACACATGATTTTTCTCGAAGGATAAATAAACATTAAAAGTAATTATTAAGATGAGGACCGCACGGTTTATGCGTGGTTCACAATCAATTCGGCCTCACTTGTTCAGACCTCTGTGAAGTTGGCCCCCCATCCTCAACTTTTTTTAAAAATTTTGAGAGTTCCTATAGCCCCCCCCAAGAGTTCTAGAGTTCCCTATACTTTTTAGAAATAGTTCTATTGTTTAAACCACCGAAAATACCATCCAAAGTTGCAAAAAACGGAAATCCCGTTTTGTGCAACTTACGAGTCTTATAACACCTTTAATATTAATTTTAGAGCTAAACTTCTAAGGGATAATTATAACAATTCCTTGGGGGGCTATCAGAACTCTAAAAAAAAATTTAAATATAGGCCCCCCCTAAAAAGCGCCCTCCCCAAAATGAAAAATTCTAAATTATTTTATGGGTTTTAATAGCCCCCCAAATAGTTACAGAGTTCTCTGGTATTTAAAAAAAACTTTATATTGTTTAAACAACCAAAAATACCACGCAAAGTTACGAAAAAACGGAAATCCCGTTTTGTGCAACTTACGAGTGTTATAACACCTTTAATATTAATTTTAGAGCTAAACTTCAAAGGGATAATTATAACAATTCCTTGGGGGGCTATCAGAACTCTAAAAACAATTTTAAATATAGGCCCCTCCTAAAAATAGCTCCCCCCCAAAATGAAAAATTCTAAATTATTTTATGGGTTTTAATAGCCCCCCAAATAGTTACAGAGTTCTCTGGTATTTAAAAAAAAAATTATATTGTTTAAACAACTAAAAATACCACGCAAAGTTACGAAAAAACGGAAATCCCGTTTTGTGCAAATTACGAGTCTTATAACACCTTTAATATTAATTTTAGAGCTAAACTTCAAAGGGATAATTATAACAATTCCATGGGGGGCTATCAGAACTCTAAAAAAAAATTTAAATATAGGCCCCCCCTAAAAAGTACCTCCCCCCCAAAATGAAAAATTCTAAATTATTTTATGGGTTTTAATAGCCCCCCAAATAGTTACAGAGTTCTCAGGTATTAAAAAAAAAATTTATATTGTTTAAACAACCGAAAATACCACGAAAAAGTTACGAAAAAATGAAATCCCGTTTTGTGGAACTTACAAGACTTATAACTCTTTAATTATTAATTTTAGAGCTAAACTTCAAAGGGATAATTATAACAATTCCTTGGGGGGCTATCAGAACTCTAAAAAAAAAATTCAAATATAGGCCCCCCAAAATGAATTTATTTTATTTATTTATTTATTTATACATGATATTTACAACTGTATTAAAAAATTAAATACATTAAGTAAATTTGATAACAGAAAATAAAAACATGAAATGACTTGTTGAGAAACTACCCACTGGTAGCACTCTAAAAACAAAATGTATTTACAATAAGAGATCTCGAGGCCATCTTCTTTTCAGACGCCTCGGAGGGTTATCAGGAATAGAAGAGGAAGCAAGGTTAGAGACGAGAGGATTCGGATGGTTCTGAAGTTTATTATGGAAAGATTGGTATCTGGATTGGGCCAAATCGGAAACATAAGGAACATTAAGGTCATTATGGATTATTTTATTGGTGACAAAGTAAGGAGCATTGAGGATTTTCCGAAGGATTTTGGATTGTAAGGATTGGATACGAGAGGAATTCGATGGCTTAGTGGAGCCCCAAAGCTCAACTCCGTAAGTCCAAATAGGTCTTATTGTACTCATGTATATAAGTCTTTTGTAATTTACTGGAAGCTTAGACCGTTTGTCTAGTAAGTGTTGGAGTAGTCGGAAACGTCGAGCGGTTTCTTGTCGTTTCAGTCTGGTATGAGGATTCCAAGTTAGACGTTTGTCCAAGTGAAGTCCAAGGTATCGGATTTGTTCAACAGGGATAAGTGGGGTATTATTAAAGGATACTGTGGGACATGAGGTCATAGGTTTACGTCGAAGGGTAAAGGTGATTTGATGGGATTTATTAGAATTTATTTTAATCCTCCAGTTTTTACACCATTCTTCAAGGCTTGTGATGTGCGATTGAAGAGTTTGGGATGCAATGGTTGGGTCATTATTAACGGATAGGACACATGTATCATCGGCATACGTGGTAATAACAGTGTTAGGATGGGTTGGGATGTCAGCTGTATAAACTGTGTAAAGGATAGGACCAAGGATACTACCTTGAGGAACACCAGCGGACTGGGAAAAGAGGGATGAATAAGCATTATTGTGATTGACTTTTGAGTATCTATCAGTTAGATAGGAACGGATAATGAGGAAGTATGTAGGA